AGAGGTTGAAATGTGCTTGGTGGATGAATTTCACAGTTGTAGAAAAAATGGAGGGATTTTTTTGCAAATCACAAACTTTGTTGGCAGCAAAAAGTAATGAGGTGTAGGGGTTTTGTACCACAGCAGCCACTGTCTGACCCACTACTATTTGGAACGCAGGGTCTGGCCTGGCCACTACGGACTTGGTTTAGATGCACAGTAGCTTGGCAATCGCTTGAGTTGTTCTGGAGTTAGCCACTCTGAATTAAAGACTGTAAATGGGTTTAGTGCTTCTGTTCTCTTTCAGTCATTGGTAAAACTCTCCCTTGATCAGCAAGAAAAAAATACAGAACCACTCTCCTGTTTCCTGACTCGCTGTTTCACTTACCAGTTGTTGATATTTGTGAACAAGTTTCCACATGGCCCATTCCATAGGAAGGTTATTATGGCTCCAAAGATGTGAATTTGGTCCTGGCTTTGAATTTGTGCCAAAACCTATCCCCATTGACCAGGCTATAAATGGATACCTGTCATTTGGGCTGGAGAGTCGAAGGCAACTGGATGTCACTGCGTCATGTGCCATTGGCTGCAGAAACTGATGTGTGCTCCCCATACTAGCCCAGTGGGCCCCAAGTCTTTTTACTTGCAATATATATTCCTAGTAGCCTAGAAATGATTTGGGGTAGCCAAGAGAGTCATTACGTAAAATGAGCAACGCAAGTATAGTAGCAGTAAATTTGGCAAATTGTTCCTCAAAGCCTATAATGCTTTTTGCAGTCTTATGTTGCTAAGGTGGCTGGCAGCTTGATTGGCGTGTGCTAGTAGTAGCAGGTTTCTGGAGTAACTTGTTTCCTCTCTTATTTCTGATTTTGCTTTTAAACTCCTTTCACACTTTTTGCAGGACTTTTTTGAAAGTTACATTTCCATTGCTTCGACTGTGCCTTCAGTACTTTGCCTGATTGGAAACTTCCTGCTAGTCAACAGGTAAGTACTGTTATATTTCCCATCTAGAATGCATTAACTGCTACCATTTCGAGGCTCACCTGCTGCCCTTGCAGCCCACATTACTCCACTCCTTTCTCTAGTCTTCCTTGTTAGCACAGCAGTCGGCTCTAAGACAAGCTGAAACACCTGATGGGGAAATGCATTTAACTAGAGAAAAAATGTTAGCTAAACTTCTTAAGGAATAGACTTGTGCCATTGTTTTCTCTCCACTCTGAAGCTCATTCAAGACCCATTGTTAGGGATTAGGGGAGGCACAAATACACTTTCTGTGCACAAACTCCTACCTGTATATATTCTCCTGTGTGTGATGCTGGTAGTTTTTCAGAGAAATAAAATCCTCTTGCAGTCAAAGGTCCCATACAATATAAAATCTCCTCTTACATTTCCTGTAACATCTGTGTTCTAAATTCTACTCAGTTTGTACATGAGATCCAGGAATAAGTAATTAAGATACATGATGGATTTATGTGTTTAGTTTTTTATTATATAAGTAGATATTTAATAAGTAGATATTTATATAATAGTAATTATACCTATTGCAAGTGACCCATTGCATAAAATTCCCTGTATGCAAGCAAAGTTCAGTGAAGGCAGCAGTATAACAGTGGATGGGTGAGTGAGGCACAAGTCCCAGGTGCTGCCTAAGGAAGAGGATGCCAGAGCTAGCAGGGCACCACACTCTCTTGTCCACCATCTATCTCCTCCTACCTTCCCTGCAGTGGCTCTGGTTCCAACAGTAAAGGGCCAAGCAGCCAGTCTCACTGCTGTGGGAGAAGTCATCTTTTGTTGCTGCTGAACATTAGTGTTTTTCTGGATGCTCGACACGTCTGCAGCAAAAAAGGGAAGTGACGTTGCCCCCCCTTCCTCTACCTCACACACATAGCAGCAGCCAGCCTCTGCACTGTGTGCTATCACTGCCCAGGGTGCAGAACTGACCAGTTATACCTCTGAGTGAGTGAAAGGTTTCAGCTCCTTAGGCAAGCTGGTCTATGTCCTTCTCTTACAACTTGGAGCATGAACTACTAATAGTCTCTCAGATCATGCTTTTCCAGGATCTGCCTGTATGGTAAACTGGCATGTAAATGTTTTTTTGTATGTCAAGTGAATTGCCAACAGGATTCAAGGGAAGGGAGTGGGAATGAATGCTCCTGTTGAATCCATTGACCGGTTTGCCCCCCGTCAGCAGAATCTGAGGCACACTGTGAGGGCTTCTCCACCCACCAGGAGAAAATCTTTCAAAAGAAACCACAGCACTGCACTTGCATTGACTCCTCGCTGACTGGCAACTATAGTTCTCTTTTCCATACCTGTGGTGTTTGTCTGTGTGCCAGTCCCTTTTATCTGCCTTATTCCTCAAGTTCTAGCCACTGAAGTAAGAATGGAAATTAGCCTGAAGATGATCCATATCAGTGCACAAAGGCAGGAGGTGAGAAAGTGTGCGTGCCTAGCATACTTCATGCAGACTGAGTGGGTACTATAATGTTCACGTTAATGCCATAGTAGTTAGTAGTGAAGTGCTGAATTCCTAGCAGAGATAACAACTGTGTACCTATATTTATAAATAGCATGCAAACAGGGAAAAGGAAGAAGGCAAAGGAGATCTTGAGAAAATAGTTCCTGCTTTTTTTGTGCATACTGTCTTCTGCAAATGGATCCCTTTCACTAAACTATTATGTATTTAATGCATTATGCTTAACTGTAGCATCTATCTTCTGTATATTTCATAGTCTTCTGACTAGCATGGCTACAATCAATAAGTGTTTTATTATGTTAAATTTTCAACATCATAAATACTCATGAGGCAGATTTACATTATGGAGACTTCTGAGCAAATTGGTTTCCCGTGGTTTAAATATCATGCAGGAGAGCTGATGGCTAGTATATGCTCCACCCTCATTAACACCCTCAGTGTTTTTGAGAGCTAGGCGTTCTGACTGATATAAAATGGTGGCATTTAAGGGATTATGAAAGATTTTTCTTGTGCGTCCTTTGAGGATGCTCTTCCTCCTTGCTTAGAGATTATAAATGTTATACTTTAATTGCTTAAAAAGAAAGTCCTCCATGCACAAAACCCACATTTCTCACTGTTCATTCTTGTCCCAGACATAAGTCAATAAGGCTGCAGTGTTTTTAACTTGGGTAGCTATGTGGCAAAATGAACCTTATCTGTATTCCTTAGAAAATTTGCCTAGCAGGGAATAGGCTTGTCTGTAATACAGGAAGTTATTCTTAAATTGCTATTCCTGACTAGTTGTTCTGGATTAACTATTCCAGTTTATATTTGGCTACTCTTATTCCAGAATCAGGTGCTTTGTTTTGATTTAATTGTAATCACAGCAGATTAAGCTAAATCAGAAGAAGGCACCCTCATTTCAGAATTAGATCATCCACATATGGAATTAATCTAGAATAGCCATTCCACTTTAAATTTATATTTTATTTTACTCCAGATTAACCTTCATATGGAGACAAGTCCTAAATTTTAGACCAAGAGGAGGACGGGAACGTATTTCACTGTTTCATCTCTAGATCTTAGTTACTAGCTTAGCTTTCCTTTTTCTTCTTTTCTCCTTCAGCCCCTTCTGCCCTGAAGGTGAGCTGATAAAGTCTTGTGTGTCTATAATAAGTAACCTTCCTGTTCAGGCAACTAATTATCTTGTAGTGACAAGCATGTGATTGCTTTCGCCCAGCCTTCAGTATTCCCCAAGCAGACTTTTATCGCTACTGTTGCTGCTGCATGTTGTTCTTGTGATGGGAATATCTTCTGATTTCTGCTAGAAATAGATATTTACAGCTTGGCTGGGTTTATAGACTTGCGGAGTGGAATAAGCTCTGATGTCAGATGTGGAAATCGTAAACTTGATATCAAAACACCATTTTTAAAAATAATTATTTTTATTCACCTTATTTTCCTTTGGTCCTTCCCAGCCCAGAGGAATTAGTTCACAGCAGCATCTATTTTGACTCCATCTCTCTAGCCACTGGGCTTCCTCCTTTGCATTCTTATATTATTTCCCAGTTGGCTATCATTTCAGCAACCTGCCTTAATCAGAGACTTACCAGGCTGTTGCTCATGTTTCCAAAGAGACTATAGTCAGCCCTCAAGTTCTTGTATTGTGGTAGGGCATCAGCTTGAGGTTATATTCTCAAAGTCAGAGCTACACCCTTACAGACTGCATTTCAGCAGTGGTCAGTACCAGCACATGGCACCTGTCAGCTGCCTTAGAGTGGAGCTTGGGTTCTGAGGACTATTTAAAGCTTTTAAAATCGGAATTTGAAACCCTTGGATGGAAAGGGCTGCAGAAATGCAAGGTTACAACATGTAATCAATTTTTTTTGTACTGAATTTGTTTTGGTGATGTTGAGGCTTTTAAAGATGAGGTACTTAGGATGTAGTAGAACATTTCCAGTCTGTAGGAAATGTAAGGAGAGGAAGGGATGGTCTACTAAAAAGGCACTGTACTGGGAGTTCAGAGACCCAGGTTTTATTCCTAGAGTCATCTCACCTCTGTCTCAGTTTTTTCTCTGTCTTGTCTGTTTATTGGTTCTGTCTTATACTCTGTAGCTTTACAGCATTTAGTACAATAAGGAATTAGAGACCCCAGGTGCTAGTCTAATAGAAGTAATAATAAATAGCCAGATTTGGGGAATAAATTAGATGGTGGCTTATTTTAGCAACCCCCTCCCCCCCCCCCTTCCCCCCCCCCACCCAAAAAAAAAATTAAAATCCTGTCTTAAACCATTATATCTTTTTTCTTTAGGGTGTCTGCTACTGTCCGCATTCTTTCTTCTTTGGCTGTCATGCTGAGTGTATTTTTGGTGATCACCGTGCTGGTAAAAGTGGACACTTCTACCTGGACAGAGTTTTTTTTTGCCATAACCATAATTTGTGTGGTTATCATCAGCGCTGCCTCAACCATCTTCACGAGCAGCCTCTTTGGCCTGAGTGGTTGCTTCCCCATGAAGAATTCGCAGGCCTTGATATCAGGTTAATTTCCCTCTGCTATCCAAAATGAAAGGGATAATAGTAAGTAAAGGATTTGCTCTGGCAATGGGACACTGCCCTGATGCTGTTTTCTGCAGTCCAAAGGAGCTTAGAATCTGCATAGACTGGGTGTGGGACACATGCTTTGCATCTTGGGGCACATAGCAGAGGGTTTTGCTGGATCTTGCATTTAATCATGTGGTGATGAGTTCTGTGCATTGGCTGAGATAACAAAACCTTTTTCTTTTTAGAAACAATATCCGTAGGCTGAAATAAAAGGAAGTTGCCAAGCAGGAAACGTGGCCAGTCACATGAGCTTACTCTTTAGTTTCTGTAGATATTTGTAAACTCCCATACTCTTATATTATGGTGCAGTTGTTTTTTTTCAAAACAAACAAGGAAAATTCTAACCCTTTGTTATCTGTAGCCTATGGGTGAATTTCTCCTAAAGCAATTAGTCACAGAACTGTAAAGTTGATCGGTATAAGAAGAGGAACATCCCTTATTTCCACACTTGTTTCTATCTCAGGAAATATTAAATTTGGCATTGTTTCTTTTTTATATTCAGCATTAACATTCATTTCCATAACTGATGAGGGACACATTTTGAGTCATGAATGATGTGGTCCTTGGAGGATTTGAATGATGCTGATAACACTGCAAATGTACTGGAGAGTAGGTGAGAGAAACAAAGAAGGAAGAGATGAATACAGTGACTTCAGATACAGCCAGGCATGTATTAATTAGTTTGTCTTAAAGATCACTACATTTTATCCATACGCATGCATGGTGCTGGTAGCCTCAATCCATATTTAGGGTGGTGAAAGGAAGAGACCATCAAATGCCCAGTACTAAGAAACATGGGTTATAATTAACCCTCTTTTTTAAATTAGCCAAGGAGAAAATCTGCATTAAGAATTCCAGCATAGGAGGGGCCTCACAGGAATATATAGTTTTGCACCCTTTCTAGATGGTGACAAAGGCTAGTTGGAAAGCAGGGCTCCTGTTTCACAGTATAACTGCTGGGCAGCAGGTTGTTCTGATCCAGTGAGTGATGTGCAGAATAACATGGGAGCATAGGTGATGTGACAAATGCTTTCCATCAGTTTTACCTTTTGAGGCTGGAAGGGTAGGTTTGCTGGCCTTTCAGTGCTAGAGACCTAGGTTACCAGCTGGCTGGCAGAGAGAACAATAGGTGGGTTTAGGCGATAGGTCTAAATTCAAATGTTTTTTCCTTTTTCCCATCCCAGAACTACAACACAGCATGCAGCAATAGGCATTCATTGCATGAGGAGAGCTGGATTAGAAAGCACCCAGAATTTGGTGAGAACAGAAATGCACTGATAAAGCTGTGTGTAAGATCTTGAAGGGCACCTACCAAGCCTGAGACTGGGTCAGGCCAGTGCTATCCATAGCTCAATTCCAAGAGCATTGAAACTTGCCCACACTTCTCAATTAAAAGCATTTTCTGAAATTTCTTGGTGCAAGCCTATCATCCTCATTTTTTCTATTTCTTTTCCTTCTCTCCTGGCTGTGGAGCTGCTTTCTACCCAATGCCCAATTCTGGCTGATTCAGCACAGACTAGAGTTTTATTACAGTTTTCTTTGACCTTTACTTCTTGCTTTCTTTTCCCCAATGTAGGCCAGGCCATGGGAGGGACAATCTGTGCTGTGGCATCAATAGTGGACCTGGCAGCTGCAGCTGATGTTACAGACAGTGCCTTGGTCTTCTTTGTGACAGCAGATGTCTTTATCTTAGTCTGCATTTTGATGTACTTGATTCTTCCTACATTAGAATACTCCAGGTAAGGTGCACTGAACTGCCAAACTCATCAGACTTCACCTGATTTAAACTTTGGATGTAGCATATTTACCTTAGGTGGAGGCTGGGAGGTTGTTTTTTTTTCTTTTCTTAAAAAGATCTACAAAGTGCATACTAGGTAATGTGCTGAGATGTGACAAGCCAGCTGTGAGAACTGGAGTGAAAATGATGGTGCTAGGGGACCCACTTTCTCTTTGCATTGGATCAGGTTAGACCCAGAAAAATCAGAGCCTGTATGTGCTGCCAGTTTCTTCTAACGCCTGCCAGGCAACGGTCTTGTTTTGTGCCTCGTGACACCCACATTCTTCTTGGACTGCAGTAGTTTAGCCTTCTCCCCCCAGGCTGACGGGCCATCCATGGCACCCTCTGCTCTCTGTCCTGCTACTTGTGTTCAGTTCTTTTACTGAGTCTGAACTTCCCAATTTGACATAAACCACAGACAGAAACTGTGGTATTGCCACAGACTGTGCTGAGTTTCTGAAAAGCTACCTTTGGCTGAGAGCAGGGGGAATGACCTGAAACCACACAAACAGCTCGAGTTGCTTAATCAGAATTGATCAAGTTCACTCTTATTGGACTATAGCCTAGAAACAGTAGCACAACAGCCAAACAGATACCACCAATGACTTCTGTAGTAACCGAGGGTACGCACCAATATTTTGGATCCCCAAACATCTGGATTCTCCAGGCTTAGTTGATTTGCTATGTCTGACAGGCCTTTCTGCAAATAGTTGCACATCTCTGTGCATCAGTTGTTTCTTACTTATTTATCAGGTACCAAGGTTGGGAGAAGAGAGTTTGCAAGTCTGTGAGATATGAATAAATCCTTTGTCAGTAAGAAGCTATAGTTAGAGGAACGGTTGAGAAAAGCTCTGATCAGAGCAGGAATTGATAACCTGTTTTAGGGTAAAACCTCAGAGTCCTTTTAAATGCAAAATGAAACAGTGCAGGAAAAAAAATGTTTGGGGTTTGAGTGGTTTCTCCTCTCATGCCTTCCATGATATGACTGACATTGGCCTGTATTTTGTAGGGAATGGGATGTTAAAAAGGAAGAGATGTTCTGTCCTTTTTACATCCTGAAGTGTTCAGACTTCATAGAAAGAAATTGCTAGTACTGAGTGTCTGTGTTCCTTTTCTCTTACATCTCCTCCAACATAGTCTGATAACAAGAGTCCAAAGAGCTTGTGGATGTCACTTTTCCCTCCAGATGGGCCTAGGGATGTGTTTCTGACAGAGCTGGAAGGAAGTACAAGGCTTAATCTGTTGAGTTATTCACTGGGTTCCAACACACTTTCTTGTGCAGGTGATTGTCCTATTCTGAGTCCAGCTGTCTTGGTTTACTAATAGCTTTCTTTCCTCTCTGTTTTCAGATACTACATGACAGTCCAGAAGGATAGCACATACTCACCTAGTATATTTCCCAACAACTCTTTAGGGGAAGAGAATGAGTCCCAAAGTATCAACAGCTCGTTTCCAACAAAAAGAGCCAGAGACAAAAACAGCCCTCCTTTGTGTCTCATCCTGAAGAAGACTGCTGTCCTGGGATTCTGTCTCTTCTATGTTTTTTTCATCTCTATCATCATATTCCCTTCTGTCTCCTCTAACATAGAGTCTGTCAATAAGGACTCAGGGAGCTTGTGGACAAATAAGTACTTCATACCTCTTACCAGTTTCCTTTTGTATAATTTTGCTGACTGGTGTGGACGACAAATCACTGCCTGGATCCAGGCCCCTGGTCCGAAGAGCAAACTGCTGCCTATTCTGGTTTTCCTGAGGACCTTCTTACTCCCCCTATTCATACTATGCAACTATCAGCCTCGGACACATTTCAAAACAGTGTTCTTTAAGACTGATGTCTACCCAACTGTCTTCATTACACTTTTAGGACTCAGCAATGGTTACCTAGGTACTTTAGCTATCATTTATGGCCCAAAGATCATGCCAAAAGAGTTGGCAGAGGCAACAGGTGTGGTGATGACATTTTACCTAATGTTAGGGTTGGCAATGGGATCTGCCTTCTCAGTTCTTGTTGTCCATCTCATATAAAAGAGTAGTGGCAGGATGAACAGTCCCCATTCTCTTTGTGTAGTTGTCTTTGGAAATTTCCGAAGGGCAGAATATAGCTGTTTGACAAACCCTACGTGCCTCAAGAAGGCAGGCACTCTGGCAAGTGTTAAAGAAAAGCCTTTTAAAAGAGGCCAGCTACACAAGGCTTTGGAACTTAGTTGCTGCTTTTCCATTTGCAGTGGGCTGGTGGGGTCCTGCTGCTCTGTTTGTGTGCACACTTTTAATGGTTGTCTTTTTGTATCTAGGTAGTAGCAGAGAGAGTACCAAATTCTGATTAATCTGTTAGAAATCTGGGATTCTAAATATTTCTGCAAATCATCCTGTTGGTAGAATTAAAGCAGCCATTATTTTAGTGAGATGCTTTGAAGGAGTAGTTAATAAACTGCATTTCCCAGAACGGTGCCAAAATTATTGAGGATGCACAAGCAGGGAAGTAAATAAATAGCCCATGTTGAATTCAGGCAACTAAAAACTGAGGACAAGTATTAATATTTGCTCCTGTAACAAAGGTTGGTACTACCTGAGGAAAGAGTTATTTTCAGGCTCCTACGAGAAGACTGCACAGTGAAAAGTCATAAAATATGGACAGTATTCCTCTAAGCAGATATACCAGATTAGTAAATTATATGACTGAGGGCCAATGGATTTCTTATATCAGAAGTCTAAAAGTGTGAGCCTGCTGTATGAACTAGATTAAAGAACTGGGGCTGGGAGGACAGAGAGGGGAATTCTCATGCCTATTGTATATAATGACCTAATGCTAGTCAGTCACTGTGTTGAGGGCATAAACCCCATTTCCTCTCAGCCTGCATTGCTGAAATTACAGGAGTGAGTTTAGAATGATGTTAATATGTTTTTTTTTGTCATCAGCTGACAGCAGCTAATAACTACTGATTCAGGTGCTGGACTCTTAGCCTCTTGAAGGTAACCTCTGTAGTACTGCACTTTGAATGCCTGTGTTGGGATTTATAGACTCAAGGCTTCCAGCATATGTCTCAGCACTCTTCTGATGGGCTTTTAAACTAAGATGATGGCATAGTAGAAGAGATGGTTATAGGGAGTGAGTTGTGTATAACCTCTGGTGTTTCTTGGGGTCAAATAGGAATGACCACTCAGCCACCCTGCCCCAGTTTTACTGAGGGTGTTTCCCACTGCTTGACAAACAGCAGATTCAGGCCACCAAGCAGAGAGATGGAGAACCAGCTGCTGTCCCCAGGGAATCTATGAAGTTAGGACTTGAGGTTCAGGTCTAGTCAGGTGGAACAGGTGAAATCTGTCTAATTCAAGAAGCTCCTAAAAAGAGGTGGCTTCCTAGGATGGAGAAGGACAGAAAGCATATGCAGGGATTCTAGGCTCAAAAAGGACCCTGGTATGTACTATCTTTGACATGGATCTGGGCAAGGTGGCACCAGGTACACTAACAGAGCCTACTGCCTCTCTCTGACATGGGTTTGTCATAGACCATTACTGTTTCTGAGTGTCTAGACACTAAGTTGCCAATAATGCTGGAGCTGAAGTAATCATTTTAACTAAAGTCCTGTGATTTGTGAGAGAGCTTCCAAAGTAGGTGCAGGAAGTTAGCTCGGATGCCATATATGATGCAGTGAAGGCTTCCTCTCCTCAAGTTGGGTAGACACCTAATAAAACTATGTTGTTTCCACTAACAATTATACCTCTTTTCATACAACCTCTGAACTAGAGGTTAGATGTTATACTTTGAAGCCAGTAATCCACAGAGCTATGATAGCTAATACTTTCAAAAGCTTCAGTAAACCCTGTAATATCCTATCAAAAAACTTAAAAGGAAAGTTTTGGAGGACTTTTTTTTTAAGTGACCTTATGCTATAGTACCTCAACATCAGAATGTGTTTCCATGTGGACTATTTCTCCTGTACAATGTATATAAAACTGATTTGTTGTAGAATTACATACACATCCAAAATCAAGTCTAATAAACAACTTTTAATATTCTGTATGTGTATGATGTTGAAATAAGTTGTTGTATTACTTTTGGAGGGAACTATAGAAATGTACAATATACGGCTGTTATACATTTAATTCTAAGAAACAAAACGTGCAGAATGTTGGGGAAAATATCCTGTCAGTGAGACCTGCTAAACCAGGGCTGGGCAAAATGGCGGATCTTGCCTGGCAGCCGGACACCATTTGCCAGTCCCTGCCTGCATCACTGTGGCTGGTTTCCGTGGAGGCCCAGACAGCAGCAGGGTCATGACAGGGCCAGGGTTTCCATGGAGACTGGCCCCAGCAGCACTGTCAGGGTGTGCAGCTGGATGGGAGCTGCTCCATTACTGGGGCTGGGATCTTGCGGTGGTGACAGCAATGTGTGGGCAGCGGCTTGCAGTTCTGCCCTGGCTCCAGACCACGCTGTCACCGCTGCAAGATCCCAGACCTGGAGCAGCTTCTCACCTAGCCGCATGCACTGCCAGTGCTGCTGGTGCTGGTCTCCATGGAAGGGTGTGCAGCTGGATGGGAGCTGCTCCATTACTGGGGCTGGGATCTTGCGGTGGTGACAGCAATGTGTGGGCAGCGGCTTGCAGTTCTGCCCTGGCTCCAGACCACGCTGTCACCGCTGCAAGATCCCAGACCTGGAGCAGCTTCTCACCTAGCCGCATGCACTGCCAGTGCTGCTGGTGCTGGTCTCCATGGAAACCCTGGCCTCGTGCTGTCAGAGCCCCACTGCTGCTGGGGTCTCCATGGAAATCAGGCACAGCAATGTGGGCAGGGGCTGCTGGGAAATGGAGTGTGCTGTGGGCCCGATCCGGCCTGTGGGCCTGATCTTGCCCATCCCAGTGCTAAACTGTGAGGTAGGTTGTTCAGGAAGTAGGTGGGGAAGCCGTATTGTTAGAGTCTTTCCAAACCAAGCATTAGCAGGAGGTCTCGTCCTTCTCTCTTCTGACACTGTTGAAGGTTAGGGTCATACATTGTGCTCTCCTAGATTTGACCACCTGTCTTTTACTGGTAGTAGTACAGTAGACTGAATAATAGCTTTACCAATTATTTTTAAGCCTCCAGTGCTACAGTTTTTACCTGACAAGGTTCCTTGGGTGAATTTTGATATCTTTTATTAGACCAACCCAAATGGTTGGTGAATAGTTATTAAGCAAGCTTTCGGGTTCAAAAACCCTTTGTCAGGCTAAGGAAGCTGCAGCAGTTGGTGTGTGCTCTTCCTGGATGGAATGAAAAGTCAGTTTTTACCTGTATCTCTGGATTGTTAATTCTGTTCATGTGATTGGATGTTAATTTTCTTTTTCTCATACCTAGCCCAAGATTACCCAGTTAAAGAACTTAAGTGCTGATAACACTTTCAGATATTTTTTAAGTGCTTCAGTATATGCTGAGGAGAAAGTTCTATAAAGGTAGACATTTATGGGAGGAGATATTTTATGTTTACTAAAATCCATAATGTGAAATATAAGATCAATTAATTGAAGTAAAGTGACTGTAAGGGAAGGAAAAAATTACGAAGCTCCTCCATATTAGATAAGTGTGGCCTGTTGGAATGAAGAGATCTTTTAATGCTAAAGATTGTCTTCAAAGGAGATGGCTTTTTAATACATTTAAAGTTTATATGAAGCACAAACCAAACTAAAAGCACTTATTATAATTTAATTCCAAAATTGTATAGAGTGATGTTATTAAAGAAATTAACTAGGAGGCTAAGGCATAATTTTATAACTTGCTATTACAGTTGATGCATCTGGAGAGACTAAGTTTAGAAAATACTTAATCTGTGAACTGATAACTCAATGACTTGATAGAAAAATACCAAATTTTTTTTTGCTTCTAGTCACAGTGCTAAATCCACCCCAGTTTGGTAGGTTGCATAGACTGAATTTAAATGTCTCCATCTAGTTCCTAGTGTGTTGGTGTCCACATGGTAGAAAAACACTAGCCCCACAATTGGAAAATAGTGCTAAGAAATGGTCTGTTTGGGGATTCTGAGCTTAGATCATCAGTACAACAATGATTTTTTGCAAGAGGGCTGTGGCCATGTGACATTGGTGCCTATTCCCTGCCATTGTTGTGAAGGATAAGCAAAGGATTTGGGGCTTTGGCATGGAAAGTTAAGAATTAACTTTAACTATCTCACTGTTTAATATCATATTTACCCAAATTCAAGAGAACCCTGAATTTAAGAGGACCCTTCAATAATTAGATTCTATCCATGGGAACATTTATAAATTTGTTACAATTTTCCATGTACAGAATCTAATTATTGGAGAATTTTCTTAAATTTATCCACACAACCACTGCAGCAGAGAATGCAGGCTGTAAGGGTCATGTGGTTGGGGAGCTGGTGGGGGGGCAGGAAGTAGGGAGCAGGTGAGGGGGCAAGCAGCTAGCCCCCTTGTGGGTGACTCCCTCCACCCTTAGGGCCCCTCTTACCCTTTCTCTGTGCCAGCAGGCTCCATCCCTGCCCTAGCCTGGGGCACAGCCCCAACCCAGCCCCATAGCAGCAGTGCTGACTCCAAGCCACTGCTACGGGGCTATGCTCCATACCCCCACACTGGAGTGGGGACAGAGCCTGCCAGTACTGGAGGACAGATAAGGTGTGGGGGAGGAGGAAGGCTGTGGGAGGTGAGGAAGAGGCAGGGGGACACAATGCAGCAGTGGGCAGTCAGCAGCTGCAGCTCTGGCCCCAACCTAGGATTGGAGCTGGAGGCAGAGCCACAGCAGTAGCCTGCCCCCATGTTAACTGAGGGGGGAAAGGGGGAAGGGACACATCATCTTGGAGTGGAGTAAATACAGCACTTGCCAACTCTAGCTGGCCTAGCTGCTAAGCCAGCGTCCAGTGTTCTGGAGCCGTATCTTTGCTGAGGTCAGCATGGGCAATAACACTAGATAAGATTTTAAAAGCTGCAGTTCACTTTTCACAAAGCATCTACAGCTGCTAGCTTTTATTATTTTATTTACAGAATAATACATGGCTAGTATAACATGACTGAAAGCAGTACTGGGCCCAAGCTAAATGTTTTCTTTTTTCTCTCAGTATTTAGTCTAGGATCATTGGTAGTACACACACAGTTCAACTTTTTAAATAATTTAAAAACACAAAATCCAGACATGAGTGAAAAATGTACTGGGCATGTGAAGAGCTTTATTGCGTATAACTTGGCATGGTATACATGAAACATGGAAAGAATACTGGCACTCCTATGGGGAGGTGAGTGGGACACCAGCCATGTTGTGTGCCAACTTATTGGCACCCCCTCCCATGTCCTGCCATAGGAACCAGGCAAATGATTGCCCTTACCCAGGAGTCTATCTGGGGATAAGAGGACAGGTGAAAAGAGAAATACTTACCCTCCCTCCAGAGAAATACTTGCCACTGCAAACACAGCCCTGTACCTAGTAACATATCTTGTATGGGGGAGTGGGAGAGGGGAGAAGAAAATGGGGCACCAGAGGTGGCTCCCAGGAAGTCTGTGCCTCAGGGCGGTTGCAGCTGACATGCAGTGAGCCTGTCCCCCAGTGGTAGCCTACACTACTACATCAGCAGCCAGAGCACTAGCAGCTGCTGCCTGAGTGCAGAGAGAGATAAGATTCTGTTCCCCTTCCCTTCTCTCCCACCCCATTTCCCCACTCTCCAGTGGTCAGCATAATCTCCTTCCCGCTCCCACTCTAGCCCAGGTGCTAAAGGAACTTCCTAGGCCTCTGAGGAAGCACATGGTTTGGCCAAGGCCAATGCATATTGGCTCCTATCGGTGTTTAAAGTGTAACTTATGACATTTGTACTTCTGCCCCCAACGGTCATTTCAGAGACCTAAGTTTCTCTAAATACTGTTAGGGGAAGTTTAGGTTAGATATTAGGAAAAACCTTCTCACTAAGAGGGTAATAAAGCACTGGAACAGGTTACCGAGAGGTTGTGGAAACTCCATCCTAGCTCAGGGGGTGCACGTGCACGTGCACCCGTGTGCACCCCCTACGTGTCACCAGTGTGTAGACCTATAATAGGGCACAGTAAATTAACTCCACCCTAGACTAGTACTGACTGGAACAAGTACTATCCGATAGTGAAGTAATTTACACCAGCACAATGCACATGTAGATGGTGACTGGGGCTGGCTGAGGGTGATACAGTGCAGGGGATCCCTCCTGGCTAGCCCCACACTATACCACCCTCATGCCCCGGCCAGTTCCTCTGCTGCACAATGCTGACCCCCAGGTTCCCTGCCAGGCCAGGGCTGCTCCACCCTGGTTCAACATGCTGCAGTCATGGGCACACATGTAAATGCTGCACCCAAGATAAATTAATTTGTTCACCCTAATTGCATGTGTAGATGCATCCACCCATGAGTGACTGCTGCCTCCTGAAATGGGGGGGGGGGGGGGGGGGGAGCCACTGCCCCTGCCAAGGGGGCACCAGCCCTACCGACAGCATCAGTGTCTGCCATCGGAGGGGCACGTGCACCCCTGTGCATCCCCTACCAGTCACCTATGCATCCACCAATACTATTTCTAATGTTTCAGAGTTCAGCTCAAGAAATTGTCAGCTCCCTGTGTTTTGGGTATCTAAGGAAGGTCAATGGGTTTTTTAAAGGCTTCAGCTTATTTTGGATTTTTCTTCCTTGTAGATCCCTCTGCTTATCAGTTGGGTACCCCCTTATCAATGGGTAATATGACTTTTGGCTCGTGTACTGGCTACTTTGCATTTGATTTAAAGTTACGAAGGGAGATGAGTTATCTCTTGAAACAAAACCCAATTGTCTAATTGTCTCTCTCTCTAGAGAGAGATTGCAGAAGGATCTGGATAGGTTACAGGGGTGGGCAAACAGGAACAGGATGTGTTTCAATACGGACAAGTGCAGGGTGCTGCACTTGGGTAGTAGGAACCAGCAGCACACTTATACGATGGGGAACTCCCTACTTGAGAGCACGGAGGCGGAAAGGGATCTTGGTGTCATTACTGACTCCAAGATGAACATGGGCCGACAATGCGAGG